CTGGACCCTGTATATATATATATATATGATAGTAAAATATGTTTACAATGTCAACATAATCATTTAAAGAATAAAAAAATTGGTAAAGCAAGAAGCAGGCATTCATCTCTTTTGAAGAAACATACAAGACGATCAAAAACAATAAAAAAATATTTTAAAGAAATCTAACTATAAATGCTATATTATTGTTATCCAAATGGTTGTGATCATTTATGGTAACATTTGCTTTATATTCCAGGGAATCACAATTCATCAACCCAGATGGGAGGGGAAGTCAACATCGCAGGCCTACTCTCCACCCAGCCTGCCCCTGAGTACTGGTGTTCAGTGGCGTATTTTGAACTCGATACACAAGTTGGAGAAACATTCAAAGTTCCCTCAAACTGCCCGAACGTCACTATCGATGGATACGTCGATCCTTCAGGAGGTAATAGATTTTGTTTGGGCGCCTTGAGCAATGTTCATAGGACGGAACAAAGTGAAAGGGCACGTTTACACATCGGCAAAGGGGTGCAGCTTGACCTGAGGGGTGAAGGAGACGTTTGGTTGAGGTGTTTAAGTGACCATTCTGTATTTGTGCAGAGTTATTATCTGGATAGGGAGGCTGGAAGGCAACCAGGAGATGCTGTTCACAAAATATATCCTGGGGCTTACATCAAGGTATGTGAATATTAGATAATTTAATATTCGATAAATAACCATTAATTATTTGTTGTTCTAATCAATAGATTAGAACAACAAATATTGAAATATTTAAAAAATTTCCACACCAGAACAAATTTTTGATACTTTTGAACTTTTTACAGGTGTTTGATTTACGTCAGTGCCACCATCAGATGACTTCTCAAGCTGCTACTGCTCAAGCTGCTGCGGCAGCCCAGGCAGCTGCAGTTGCTGGTCATATTCCTGGACCTCATTCTGTGGGAGGAATCGCGCCAGCTATAAGTATGCATTAATTTAATTGACCATCATTATTCGTATAATATAATATTACTTGTTTGCCAAACGGATTTGAAGCTTTAATAACTTCTAATTATTATATGCGAGCGCTTTCGATAGCAGACTGCTATCATCTTCATGGCTATACTCAAACTGAAAGTTTTATCTTCCTGTTTGTTCTTTTATACAGTTAGATCGTCTTAGTGAATTTGTTGATGCTTCCTTAATTAGGGTTTGGGCAGGTATTTGTCCTTCCCTTTCATCCGGATGTCTCAGTAATATTCTTTTTGTTGGTGTTTCTCTAGGTTCATTGTTTGTAGGGATGTTTATTGTTTTGTGGAGTATATTAAATGTTATGTCTATTTAGTGACACTGAATCTCGCATACTTTAGATTTTAGGGAAACCCATAGAAATAGATCTAAAGGAGTTAGATCTACTGATTTTGGAGGCCATTCCACATATCCTCGGCGGCCGATCCACCGTTATTCATAAACAGTTTTCAAATAATTCCTCACATCAACTGCAGAATTTGTAAGCAATCCATTTTGTTGCAAAATAATTTCATTGCCAAATTCGTCAACATTATTTTTGACAGTTTTCACAAACAGTGGATCTATCACTGTTTCCAGGATTTCAAATAGAGGTGCACCAGTCAGATTTTCATCACTAAATAACGGACCTATTTATATTGCGGTTACCTAGTATTTCTGCCCATAAATTACCTTTATGTTTCTCTTACGCACTGGTTGATCGCCCAGAACGTTTTTTATTTTGCATACTGCAGAATAACTATTTTAAATGATGTCTATGAATAGGGCGATCTGGAAAACGTTCATTGAACATTCATACATCGCAGTATAATTGCTATTAACCTACCAAAAATAACAATCGCATCGCATTTCTCATTTAACTCATGTAGTATAACAATTGGAAAAGAATAATCAGAACTTACAGCTGGAATACTCTGACTCGCAATTTCTCTGACATCAGTTTATCATAAAGTTGAAGCTGATAGCAGTTAAGCAGTTTCGGCGGCCGAATATCCGGCGGAATGTTGCGATTTGGTGCATCACAAGAAGCATGCTTGCGGAGGCGGCGTGCGTACGATAGAGTGGTCCAATTCGGATCTTTTTGTTGATGAGCGAAGTTAACAGTTGTTTTAATCATTGACGCATTGTATTGATTGCAGTGCATCTATCTTTCAGCATCTTGCAGCAATGTGTACAGCGAAAGTTTTTTTTTCTGAAGCTGGCCTTATTTACAAACTAAACCGCTTGCTACCTCCTAATGCAGAGAAATTAGTATGCATTCACCATAATTTGCCTTTAGTGGAGTATAAGTACTAATTCATTTTCGAAGTTGTAGAATCATTATGTGATTACTGTATGTGTTTCTTTAAGTCAAACTAACAAAATAAAGCACTTCGTTACCTAACATTTGTTTAAATCCAGTATTCGGCCTCATAGGTGCTAGTTATCTGATATTCGGCCGGATAGTATTTAGGCTGCCGGATCTCTGTTTTATGGTTTTGACCATTCCTCCCAAAAAAATGCAAAAAACACCAACAAAAACGTAGAGTCAATATCCAAGTATACGGAAAAAAGTCTCTTTCTGAAAAGAGTCGAGTAATGAGTTAGATGAGGTAGGTAGCTTCATCGCTAATAAAACATTTGCACAACAGTGACACCTGAAGATGCTATCGTATAGCGAAACACATGTCGCGGTTTTGTAAACTTTCAAGTGTGTTTTTACGTTATAATGGATTTTCATCAAGTATTAGTCAGTCCTATCATATTTATACATCACAACATTGTCAATCACATTCTAATATACATGAAACATGTAAATATGTTTGTAAATTGCCAGAGCTATACTTGGCTATTTTTAATAGAATCATTTTATTTCTTTTCAAATTCATTAGTGTCGTTTGCTTGTATCTGTTGTTATTTACTAATTGCTCATCCAGGTTTGTCTGCCGCCACTGGAATCGGTGTTGATGACTTGCGAAGGCTGTGCATACTGAGATTGAGCTTTGTCAAAGGTTGGGGCCCCGACTACCCTCGTCGACAGTCGATCAAGGACACTCCTTGCTGGATCGAAGTCCACCTACACAGAGCCCTACAGTTGCTGGACGAAGTTTTGCATACAATGCCAATCGATGGGCCCCGAGGAATAGAGTAAGCCAGATTCCCAGGATTATAGTGATTTTTTTGTCTATTGATTGCATATCGTCAGCTTAAATTATCAACCAGTTAACTCCAAAATTAGCAGTTTTGTGAAAGTACCTTGAAACTAAGTAGAATACTAATTTATATTAATGACATTTCAGTACTTTTTTTCCATCCTTCCTTCATTTACACATGAAAATATTCCAACAAAAACCGAATACATATTCATCACTGTTCATGTTTGTTTCAGAATTTTTAAAGGCCTTTTTCATTCATCAAAAATGCATTTATTATTTTTTATTCAATTCAACCATATTTGATTCAGCTTCTTTTCAACATTTTTACCGTTTTTAAAAAGGCTATCTCCTATATAGACATTTGTTTCCGATGTGATACCATTGGAGACTGTAAATATCTTTTCTAAGAGTATTTTCTTGAGGTCTGCCAAGATCAATCTTAAAAAAATTATGACTGTGAAAGTAATTTGTATTTCAATTCATGCAGATTATCAGTCATAACCATTGATTAGTGATGAGGACTATTTTCTTGGTGAAAAGCATTTTTCTTCATTATTTGTGATATTTTTATGTAATTTTGGTCTTGAGTCAGAATCATCGTTAAACCAAGTCTCTCCATAATAAATAAGCCATAACTTTCATGATAAACTAACACATGGGCTGAAAAGTCCTGGGGCTAAGAAAGAAAACTTTTTTTTGTTCAAAATTGGTTTTATTCATCAACGTAATCTCCATCGAAAGCCACACAATGATTCCAGCGCCGCTCTAACATTTCAATACCACTTTTGTAGAACGATTTATCTTTTGCCTTAAAATAAGCCTCAGTTTCAGCAACAACCTCTTCATTTGAGCGGAATTTCTTACTAGTAAGCATTTTTTTGAGATCTGCGAACAGCCAGTAGTCGCTGGGAGCCATATCTGGCAAATACAGTGGATGTGGGAGCAATTCGAAGTTCAATTCATGTAGTTTTGCTATTGTTTTTATTGATTTGTGACACGGTGCGTTGTCTTGATGAAACATCTTTGCTATGCCGAATATCGAAACCATAACCTTTCCAGCCGATTGTTATGCTTTCGAGCGCTTTGGATGAGGTTCACCAGTTGCTCTCTACTCAGATGACCATCGTTTTGATTCCGGAGTAAAAGGATGGATTCATGTTTCATCCATTGTCATATATAAACTCAAAAAATTTAGTTTTATGATTAATCATGATCAAACACTGCTCAGAATCATCAAGACGTTCTTGTTTTTGGTCAACACTGAGCTCGCGCGGCACCCACTTTGAACAGAGCTTCCTCATAGTCAGATGCTCATGCAATATGAAGCCAGCACATTCTTTTGATATCGTTACAATGTCAGCTAACTCACGCAACTTCACTTTTCGATCATTCAAAACGATTTTGTGGATTTTTTTAATGTTTTCTGGTGTTACTGCCTCATTTGGATGTCCACTGCGTTCTGCATCATTGGTGTCTCTGCGATCACATTTTAAGTCGGCAAACCAACGTTTAATTGTTGTTTCTGAGTTGAGTTCTTATAACACTTTTCCAGCCATTGCTTAGCTTGAACGGTATTTTTCCCATCAAGAAGCAGTGCAAAATTACAACAGATTTCTTTTGAAGGTTAATACTAATTGAAAAAGCAGTGAATGTAGTGGCCTTTTTCACTCAGTTGCTTGTATTGATACCTAACGATACCATTTGCATTCTTCACATAATAAAGTTAGCCCTTATTCATAAAATAGTATTTTTTTAAATAAAGCGATGTTTTATCAATAGATAACTTCCATTTTCTTTATTATTTCTAAAATTACTGTAGTGGTGTTATTAAAACCATAACTAATGATCGAAACATTATGAAATTTTTGACACATTGTTTGAAGGTTATTCCTTTTTGACATTCAAGTAAATATTATCAAGAGACATTATCTGTGGATCAAAACGTAGGTTCTCTATAAGAGAATTGGAAATATATGGGACATTTAGATCTTCATTTTCAAATTAAGATAACTTGCATTGTTTACAGGTATTATAAGGTTTCAAATTTGATATTCATTTTAAACAGTAGAAGATTCAATTTAGAACATCTGAATAAGATTTTTTTGAGTTCTAATTAGTAGACTTCTTCCTGAAACAATACAAATAAAAAACCCTTCGAAGAGTTCTGCCTTCTGCAGAAATATACTCAATTGCTTATGACTCTGAACATAGACTTGATAATAAGAGCTATCTATCAGCAACTACATCACGACTTAGAATATTCTATGAATAAATCAGAGGCGCTCCTAGGATTTGGACCTGGGTAGGCTGCAAGGAGTGGGATCATAAATATATGGAAATATAATTTTGTAAACTGATCCCCATCATTGCTTTCTTGGAAGTGAGACTTACAAAATTTGTAAAATTTAACTAGAAGTTGCCTAGGGAGATGATGAAAATATAATCGTTAATAAGATATTAGCAAAAACTAAAATTGCCGATATGGTTTTTTATCTCCACTCCCTCCATGCCAAATAATATGAACCAGTTTTGTTCATTGAATTCCATCATACACTTTATTTCATTAATGACATCTAGTTTTTTCAACACTATTATATCGAATTCAGCCATGTATTTTTCAGAGTTTCTCTTGAAAAAAATTACACTTTGCTCAGCGTTTTTTTTATGGTGAACTGTATATGTGGGTCAGAGCTATTAAAGATTTCAACAATTTCATCAACTCCAGTAGCAGGAAGGTCAAGACATTTTTTTATGAAATCTTCAGAAAATTTTCCTTTTGTAAGTCGTCAAGACTACTTTAGTCGTTATTCTATCATTTTGTCTCATCAGTTTAGTAAAGAAACATTTCTTTTTCTGTATTAAAGAAATATTTTCTGAAATTTCTCAATATCTGTTGCTGTTTCTATTTCACGTATAGACAGTACCATCAATAAGCTAAAAACATTACATTACAAATATAACATTATTCTTAAAATTTTGGAGAGTGGTGAAACCTTTACTGAAGTATTCTGAGACGTTTGTCTATAAAATTTGATATACTGGACTGTTGAAGGATAAAATATCAATGAGTGAGTATAGATCACTTCAACTGTTTCCTTAGAACCTTCTACTATAGTCTCTGATAGATGTCACAAAAATGTTATTTTTTACGGAAGTATGGTTAACGGTCAACAACTTTAAGCTGATAATATGTCTTCACTCTTTGTAATATTTTGAGAAATTTTTGTCTGGAGAAAAAAGGTTCTCTTCATGCTACAAGAAAATTTTAATTACATTGAATTACTATTACTAAAAAGATCCCTGGATATGTTTGTGTTTCGTAGGAATTTCAAGAAATTTCAATCGTTACTCAGTTTTTGTGTAAATTATGTAACTGACAGAAAAATGTGATTTTTTTTGAAGATTTTAATTTTGTTCGAAAGAATTCATTTCCTCCATGAGTAGATGACTGTATGATATATAACGTTTTTGTTATATGTAGTTTTAGATATTTTGAATGCGATTTATGTACAGGTGCTAAATTTTGAAATAATTTTGTGAATCAGAAATTTATATGCTGTGATTATGTTATTGTCAACGGTATGTTCTCAAAACAATGACACATCTGACATCACTATAAGAGAACAATTTAAAAAAAAAAATTTTGGTGAATCTCATGAATTACTTTATCCGAAGATAGGTTTTAATAAACTTTGAAATGAATCGTGTAGCTACATTACTTCTCATTGGTTGAGGTTCTCAAATGATATATTCTGCTTTTGTACGGCAGTCTAAAAATTTAGCTTATTTTACTTTTTGACAGAAAAAAAGGTTGTTGATCTCATAGCGTGCAGAGGTATACCCATAATTTTCATTTATGCAATGTGCAGTGTTCAAATTAATAACGTTTATATAATACGACTTAGAGTTGGTATTGAATGTTTCAGAGTTAGAAATATGGAATTGGTAATCAATATGTGAAACAGTAAAATATTTGAGAAAAATTTATATTTAAGAAACAGGGGCGGACATGGTTGACTCTGGCGAGAGCAGAAGCGGATAGGTACTTGAAGAAAAGGGTTTTATTATCAACCATTCCTTGATATTTTTTTCTTTTCAGTCTTTCACAATCTAAAATATGAATAAATCTGAAATATAGATGAAAACCGAAAAGTTCATTGCTGTAGCGTAACCGATATCCTTAAATTAATTTCAGAAAATTTGTGTTTGTGCTTTTTTTTTGTTCAATCTTTTTCATTTATTGAAAAAGTCCTGGTTTCGGGATGAGTATGAGAAATTACTCGTCTCAGTTGATTGCTTACGTTTTTAAATGATCACTGCTTTTTCTAGAACCTTCGGGGAATTCAAAAAGATGAATGATTTGAACTTCTTGGTCTGGTCTAGGGGGGAAAATAATTTAAGAGTAGGGTTTATGGTTTACAATGTATTTTTTTCTGAAACACCAGTTCTAATTTCAAAAATCTCTAGCAACAACTTCGGAATAAAGCAATTTTTCTCTACTGCTTGGTGTACGGACTTTTTTTATTTTCCACCCTGATGTAAATATAACTGATCAGTAAATTGCCTTTATGAATAAATTTATTTCCATTCTAAACCTGATTTTTTATGGAAAATGCCTCGCATGGAGAAATGTATATTTGCAAAAGTTTTGCAGTGAGGTTATGGCATGCTCTTCCATAAGCAAAACTCCTTGTTGTAAATTATTTCCTGAAAAAATAAAGCCGGCCGCCGCAGGTCTTCATCAATCAATTGTGATTTGGCCAAGATCGCACTAAAATCGAGTTGAGCTTCGCGATCGTTCTAGATGTCGCGTCGCTTCGAGAGACTTCCGGCGACTTTCCTGTCGGCTTTCAGGGACTTCCATTAGGGTATATAAACACTACCAGATCAAGAAAATCTAGTTGAAAATGCGGTGCGAAGTGATCTAATAAGGCAATAGACATTTGAATATCAGTCTGAAGTTTCAATTAAAGTGTTTGTGTTGTATTGTCAGTGTAGCAGTGAAATAAAATTGAGTTTAATTGTACAGTGTAATCAATTATTGTGAAACCGTCGGGGAAATCGTAACATTTGGTGACGGAAGTGGAATAAATGACTGAAAATTTTTTGTTTTATGGTAAAAGAAGGAGTGCCAATTA